GTTGGTAAGAGGGCAGTTCATCCATCGACTGCTGTTTTTCCTCATCCTCCGCGCCTACCCGCCGAAAAAGTAGAAAAAAAGAAGTCACAGAACATGTACATGGTTAGCAAGGCCAACTGCAATGCCTGTTAAAGAAAATGCTGGCCTGCCTTCTAGGCCGTTACAGAAGAGCCGTGCTCGTTGTAGCAGATCCAAATTTTGTGCAACTCATATTATATTTTACCTCAGGAAAGTTTCCAATCGGGTTACTTTTAAAGTTGCAATGAATATCAAGTGCAGGGCTGTTGTTTAGAATTCGCAACATAAAGGCAGAAGGTATTTTCAATAAGACAGGGAGACAATCACTTATGCGGACAAAAGGCTGTCAACAGGTTAGGGCAGTCCCTTAAACAGGAAACGAGTGTTAGAAGCAGAAGCGCTCAATTAGGGGCATTGCATTAACCTTAGCAAAAAAGGTTTCAGGAGCAGGCGAATATACAGCCTCAGGGGAGGCACTAAACATGTCATCAAATAGGTAACGGACCTGCTTCATCTATTTCCACATCTCCGTCCTCTGTGCCATCTTTCTCTGGTTCGTCGACATCCATCGGTTGGTTTTTTAAATCGATTTCTTCCTCCGGACGATTCGTCTCTACAAAAGGCAAACCACAAAGACAGTGTTGAGTTGCATGTGCGAATAAGAAAACCAATCATCTAGTCATTAACCAATGTAGCAGGTGACTTACCATCCAAGTTATCGAATTCATTCGGATGCGGCTGAGCGTCCTCATTCTCACCAAATTCGACATCATCCGGGCCGTTGGGTTCAGCCTCATTCTCCTGTTCTTCCTCTGACTTCAGACGATCGGCTTCACCCTGGGCAAGCAGCTCTTCGTCCTTCTTCATTGCGTCAGCATCCGGAGGCTGGTTCGGAAGTCCGTCAGTAGCGTTTTCCTCTTGGTTCTCCTCACCCTCCTCTCCAGCAACTGTCTCCTGTCCGGCTTCACTTGTAGCATCTAGTTTCTGTTTTTTCTTTTTCTTTTTTTCATCTGCCTCCGGCGAAGACTCATCTTCTTCGTCGCGTGGCCGCTGCTGCTGTTGCTGCTCTTCGTCCTCTCCATCCTCATCCGCCGACTTGTCGTCTGCTCCTCCCTCTTCCTTTGCTGTGGACTTTGACTGATTCGACTTGCCTGCCGGATCTTTGACACCAGCTGACGACGATTTGGCATCTTTACGGTCATTCTGATCTTCTTCTTGGTCACTTTCCGCTTCTTCATCGTCACCCCACATTTCTTTGCTGAGCTGCTCCTCGTCCGGCTGCAGATCCTGATTCTCACCCATTTTCTCGTCCAATCCAGAATCAGCCTCCTCTTTGCGCTCTTTTTCTTCTTCTCCTTCGAGTGCACCTTCCTTGTCGTCAAGGTCACCAGTAAAGTCATCTGGCATCTCGATGCCCTGTGCATCGTTTGCCTCCTCTGGCTTGGACTCAGCAGCTGACTGCTGGGTGTCGTTCTGTGTGCCCTCAATTTGCTCTTGAGAGGTCAGCTGGTCGCTGACGTCCTTAGCACCGGAGGCATCGACACCCTGGGCTGTTAGACTTGTGCACCCACCGTCGCCGCCTTCCGCAGTGG